CCTCCCGGCATTAAAAAACTTGACTTGTTTTGACTGTTTGGCTTGACTGTTTTGTTTTGTTAAAAAAGACGAACTGTTTTGGTTGCTCCACCCCACCTCCTCCTCGTGACTGCCATCTCTCCGCGTAGCTGCCTCGATGGCCTTGGGTGACACTCGAGATCTCGACAGTGCGGGTAAAAATGGGCTCTATCTCGGTGACTCCTTTGTTGTTGCCTTCGTTAAGTTGGGCAACCGTCGTGAGAAGTGGGCTGCAGGCTCATGTCTGCTCCCGCCTGGCTACGGTCTGCCCGCTCTCGAAAGGACAACAGTTTCTCAATCATTCTGAGGTCTGAGGCATAGCCCTCAAGTGATGCGAGAATTTGCGTCCACTTTGTTACACGTCCCGACACCGGAGTCGTGTTGTCTGTCCATGACTTTTAAACAGTCGCCTGTTTGTTTTCAAAAGTTTGCATCGGTCTACCAAAGCAGCACCTCCTCCTGTGCCTTCTGCTTTGTCCTCGTTCTACGTCAAGCTCTTATGCCAAAAAACTGTCCGCTAAAATTAATGGGTGGGCAAAATCAGTTTGTCCGCCTGCCGTCAAAAGCCTCCTCATCCGCATGGTGGTTGGGAAAATGTTTTTGTGGTAGCACATTTCCCCGAAGACACGAATTTCGCCCCAAAATTGGGGAAGGAAGGTAATCCCAAAGTGAAACCCAAAATGCGAATGCTAAGCTAACTTCTCTTTTTTATGAGATAAACATAAACTTGACTCTATGTAGGAAGGTCTTTTTTGCGTTCTATTTGCAAACTAGTTAATTATGACTACCGTATGGAATGCTTTGACAACTGACGTTTGTCAGAGCTCTGACACAAGGCCTTGATTCTCAGTTGCTAATACAGGTCCGAAGAAACATTCTCCTCTCAAAAAAAAAGCGAAAAAAATCATTTTGCATAATTTTTAGCTTTCCTAAAGCATTTTTTTTGGTGAAGTGTTGGAGAGTTCTTTAAAATGGCAAATTTGTTTTTTAAACTCTCGTTTGACAGAGGTGATTTGGTATAGTTGGCCTTTCCCATTTCCTTTTTTTCTTTTTTGTTGATAGAAAATTTTACCACCTAATGGAATGTATGCTGGAAAGAACTACAACACCTCATTCAGTCTTTACTTATTGGGGATCGAATGTGCTACTTATTTGTATTCAGCGGCACTGTGGCGCTACTGAGTGTCGCTGGGGTGTGGGTAAAGACGCTTATGAAGCCACGGCAGATTGAAGGCCAGATCACATAGTGATGAGGAATGTGCACACCTAAGTGTCAAGGCGATCCCATCAAACATTGCTTTCAGTGGTGTGCTGTCACACTTAATTTGACAAGGGAATGAAAAAGCATTTGACAGTGTTTAGCTTGGAAAAAGTACACGCGTTAAGGAGGCAAAAAAACATCACCACACCAACCAGAGCGCCTTCTGAACGCACTTGACAATTTTCGCAAGTTATATGTGGCACGATTTGTAGATGTATTAGGCGGTAAGAGCACACTACTCTGACAAGTGGGACAATGAACGAAAAGGTCATCTCTTTCTCCCTTTGCTAATGACAAGCGCGACTGACGTGCCATTGCTCCAAAATATTGACAAAAATATTCTGCCATTTGTATTACAAGAAGAATGGAGGATTGTTTAAACCGAAGTTGCATATTCTGTTGCTTCATTTGACTCTGTGAGGGCTTCTAAGATTCTCTTCGCAGTATGGGAAGTGGATAATCGGAGGTTTGACAGGCGCAGTCGGGGCATCTGTGCCAGTCAGCCTAATTTCTCCAACGCACCTTCTCCCTATCATTAATTTGATACTGGCAATGCCTCCGAATCGAATGGACATTTGTTTTATCTTGCCTATGCACAATTTGGCGCAATAGCCAAACCAGACTTCCCATGCACTGAATTTTTTTCAAGGGAATGTTGATATGACCTTAGCGAGTTGGTAATTGCTGGTTTTGGGCTGTCTCTCATCAAAGAGCTCTCCTTTGGTCGACCCGAGGCCTCCATCACCTAGCAGCAGCTAAAGTCACGAGTAGACGAGACTCTTCGTGCGATTATACGTCCATCCACACACCGCCACTGTCGTCCGCCACCGTCCCTGCGTTCAGTACATCTGGAGGGCCTCACAACGAATGTATCATTCGAATGCCTCTAAAAAATGTTCTTGTAAACTCTAACGGCCTGTTTAGTCTCTCATAGCCTCGTCTTTGTAGACGTTTTGCAAAACATCAGATGATCCATCTTTTCATTTCCATAAGCTAGGCATCGTAAATTCTGGCAAACACACCACAAACCGCCGTACTTTCACGATTGCCACCTCCTCAAGGCCATCCACTCAAGCCGAAGGTGTCACCTTTCCACCTCAATCACCTTGTTTGAAGCAAACCGATGGCATGGCGCAACAGGTTCCCGTATCTTGTGATTAGCTGAATGAGTTGTGCAAAATGACAAAGAGGTCAAGAAAATTTGAAGTTTAGCACAATCTTCCTCCTCTTGGATGCAGCGAATGACATCAAAAAAATTTTAAATGTCATGTCTATGCAGGATTGATAAATTTCATATGAGCACGAATCTGGATGAGCTTTGCCACCCCTAGCGATCACTGCAGACCCCATAAGGAGGCTCATGGCGGAGGCAACTCAAATCCCTCTTGCCACTTCACTTCTTTTCTGCGTCATTTTGAGATTTTAGAGGCACCACTCTCAGCTTCACTCTTCAAAAAATTGCCTTTTCTCCTTCCCCTCCCCCCC